CTTTAAGATAAGGAATTGTGTTTTAAAATTTGTGTGTGCGCATTTTGTATCTCCCCTTGTGTTTTTGTATTTTTATCTATTTGTGTGCCATGGCATTACTTTTGTAGCTTATATTTTATACTCCTCACCTTTCAACTTTCAACTAAATGTGTTTAGTTTCAGAAGTAAGTTATACATTGTAACAATGTTAACAAGGGCAGGAGTCAAACTGCTGCTTCCCTGTATCAGGCGGGCCCCTGAATTAGCGAGTGAATCAGTGATTGAATGCGTAACACAGTAGCAGGCAGCAATTAACACCTAGGAAAACTGCAGATCAACCAACGAAAGAAATCAATAGAAGACAATGTAGCAACCGGGAAATCTCTAAATGTCACTGTTCGAGGGCTAAAAGCCCTGGTCTGAGTTAATCAATGCCAGGGACCAACTTTTGGGCTAAATATCTCCAGATCGACCGCTCCCAGAGCCCTATTCAAAATTCATCAACTGACTCCCAAACCTGCACATACATGCGGACAACCCCTGGGGCTGACAGATGCTATCCAGTAGCCACCAAGGGGGAAGTCCCATGAGGGTCAACGACCCCTGGATTGGGCAAACCTGAAAACTGGGGAGTCACCAAAGTCTGCCAAGGACAGATAAAAGAGCAGTGAAAAGTGACCCTTGGCGGAGCCCTCTTGCTCTCCAACTTGACCAGCACCCGACCTGTCCAGCCAGAAGGACCAGCCAGCGACCCCCTTCTGGAAGATAACACCATGCTGAAAGAAGCCTCGATGGCAGACTCCAGTGCCTGTGAGATAGGTATACCTGACTCTTGTAGCTCGCTACTGTGTGTGTGTGGACCAGCCCCAAGGTTTAACTTCATTACATGTTTCAATCCGCCTAATAAACCACAATTTTAAGGATCCCGAGTTGGACATTTGTAGCCAACACCGCAGGGGAGCAATCCGACTTCCACCCATGCAATGTCCCAAATATATCACTTCAGATAGTGCCAACTGGCACTTTTTGGCTTTCACAGTAAGACCAGCTTGCTTGATCTTACCCAACACAGTGGTCAGATGAATCAGGTGCGATTCAGTCTTAACTGAAGATGATGATGTCATCAATGTAAGCCATGGCAAACTGCTCACATCCTTGTAACAGGTTATTAGTCAGTCTTTGAAAAGATGCGGAGAGTTGCGCATACTGAACGGTAACACCATAAACTCATATAGTCCCACAGATGTGGTAAAGGCAGACTTGGCTATGGTGTCTAGATCCAGTGCCATTTGCCCCAATCCTTTGGGCAGACCGAGAGTAGAGACCTTGGCTGGGCCCAGCTGATCAAGCAGAGAGTCTGTCTTGTGCATAGGGTAAGGATCAGGGATGGTAATAGCATTCAGCTTCCTGTAGTCCACACAGAACCAAATGGTCCCATCCTGGTTCCGGACGAGTACCACCGGGCTGGCCCAAGGACTCATTGAAGGCCAGATTACCTCTAACTCTCTCATCTCTGCAAGCTCCCACTTTATTTCTTGCTTCACTTTTGCATTAACTGTGTGATAGGCTGGCCGGCAGTGACTTAGCCCAGAGGTTTTTAAAGAGCAAAAGATGACTGGAGGACTTGGGATGCCCTTTCTTCACCAATCTGGTAATGATTTGGTCCAGGGGTTTTGAGGGGTAAAAGATGATTGGATGACTTGGGATTCCCTTTCCTCACCAATCGGCCCCAGAGACTCACCCTCCATGTCCCCTGATTGGCCCCTTGGGTCACCTGGAGGGGGATAAAAGGGGCAGCATGGCTGACTCAGGGAAGAGACCAGCGAGGGACCATAAGGAAGGAGCTTCCAAGAGCTGAGCCAGCAGGGCGGGAGCAGTTGCCCCAGGAGAGCCTGAAGGAGCAGGACCTGCAGGCAGCAGTTGGACCCTCAGCAACATGGCGTGCAGCTGGCAGGAGAGGCTTCCTGCTGGGCTCCAGGATCCCCTACAAGAGGCTGTGGCCAGCAGGAGAGGCTCCCCCGCTCCAGCAAGGATCTGAGCAGTGACCTGAGAGGTTCCCAGATCAGCTTCCAGCTCCTTCAATCAGAGACCAGGCAGCTTGACGTGAGGCCGGAGCTCGCGCCAGGAAGGCCAAGACCCGTAGCAGATTGGAGCAGTGCTACCAGGGGTGGCTGTGTGGCAGCATTTCTGCCTACCACATGGGGAAAAGTGAATTCAAGTCCCAGTTGAGATGACTTGGGGTGAGTGAGCTAACAAGAAACAAATCTTGCAGTGGAAAGGGACCATTGTTCTTTCCCCCTTTCTTCCCCTCCAGGTACCTCGGCCCTATATTTCCTTGTCATTTGACATTTTGTATTTTGTGCCTTTTTATATTTCACCAACCAGTATTGTTTGCTCTGCTGTTTGTGTTTTATGTTTTGTTAACCCTGTCTTTTGTCAATGATTGTAAATAACCTTTGTGAAATCCTGCCCCCTTAGGGCATTGTGGTGTCCACTATACCCCCTGATTTATGCCTTTTATGTTCCCAGTATTGTTCCCTCATTAAAAGGTATATGGTTAAGTCCCCACTGGTGGTCTGGCTCTGCTCTATAGGGGGAGGAGAGTCCCTACACCTCCCACAGCATTTGTGCTCCTGCTTTGATCCCTTCAATTGGAGAGGGGGTACCTCTTGGAGTACTGCCTGGGTTACAACTCCATATGGTCTGGATTGGATAGGGCGATGGCTGCCCATCTATAGAGTGTACTGCCAGGTTCGTTTTACCTGGTTTGTTGGAGAACACCGTCTCAAAGTCCTTGAGTGCTGCGAGTAGCTTGTCCTTGTCCTGGGAGGGCAGATGATCTGGCAGGCAGAGGTCCTCTATTCCTGCCTCTTCCCCAGTTACCATACCATATATGACCGGCTCCTCTGGTGATCCTTCAGCTGAGGAAATCCAAGATACCACATCACTTCTATTAAGGTATGGTTTAAGCATGTTCATGTGTACTATTTTAGGCTTTTTGTCTGAACTGTTCCTGGCCACAACATAGGTCACATCCTCCAGCCTGTCCAGGATGACCAGGTCTACATAGGCCTTTAGCATGCCTTTCAAGGTCCCAGTGAACCTTTCTACAAGCCCATTTGTCTGAGGGTGGTAGGCTGCAGCACTTCCACAGGCACTTCATCACCTCAGCCAGGAAGTTCCCACCCCTGTCAGTCAGGATCTCGGAAGGGAAACCCAGATGAAAGATCTTGGTCAGGGCTTCAGCAACTACAGGTGCCTTGGTGGAGGCAAAGGCAGTTGCCTCCAGGTACTGAGTTTCAAAATCCACTAGAGTCAAGATCTACTTCCCTCTACAAGTCTTATGCCTCAGTGGACCCACAATGTCTATACCCACTCTTGGAAGGGTTGATCAATGATAGGCTCCTCTATAGCCCCTCCCTTTCTCTTGTCCCCACTTTTGCCCATCTACTGGCACATCTTACAAGATCTGCAGTAGTCAGTCACATTCTGGGCAACCCTGGGCCAATAGAAGATTGCTTGCAACCACTGGCATGTCCATTCCCTACCCATGTGACCAGCACAAGGTAAATCATGACCCATGGAAAGCAATTGTTATCTGAACTTAAGAGGTACTATGAGCTGGGACAGGGCTCCCAGGTCTCAGCATGGTTCTTCAGTCTCCACACCTGATACAGGAGTCCCTTATCCCAGACCACCCATTCCCTCTCATTTGGGGTGAACTCTGTCTCTGGCTTTTAAGCCATCTGCTCGAGTCCCTCCAAGCTGGGGTCCTCTAGAACCTCCTACTTGAACTCCTCTTGCCCAGCTAAGCAATCAGCAGGGAGTTCTGGTAAGGAGTGTACCTTTACCCACAGGGATGTCCTCTAACTTCTCCCTGAGAATCTCAGTTTCCTCCACTGACCCAGCTCCTCCCTGGGGCTGTCACTTAACCCAACCTTGAGGTTGCCGGTTCCCTCAGTGGCTGGTGGATGGTTGCAGTCAGGGGGAGTCTCTCCCTTCCCCTCCACTGCAGCCAATTGGGTGACCAGGCCCTGGGAAGTTTCCAACCCTCCCACCTTAGCCTTTCTGCTCTGTTGACGAGTCATCACATTAACACGGTAGGGCTCTATGAAGTGGTCCCCCACCCTTTACAGGTATTCGAGCTCCATAACATCCTGCCCCACCAAAATGGGGACTGGAGCCTCTTCTGCAGCCCTGCCGCTGCGCCCTTACTGGCACTGGGCTCTCCACACTGTAGCGTGCCCCAATAAGGCCTTCTCTTCCCCAGTCTCAGTCTGGTGCACCAGTATATGTGTATGTGTAAAAAACAAAACAAAAAAAAACAAAAAAAAACACCACACACACCAGAAAACAAAAGCCCCTGGGCTACAACACAACAATACACTGGGGTCCACACTCTACCCCTTTTAAGGCAAGCTTCTCTCTCAGTATAAACGTTCCTCCCACCCACAAGTACTTATTAGCTCCTACAGCCTTTTAATCCTGCCAGAATCAGAACAGACAGTCAAGCATCTCCAAGTATCTATCTCTATGAAAGCTCCTTCCTCCTTGGCTGCTGCTAGAGAACTAACCCTTTAATCCCAGCCCGCTGGCTGATATGTGCCCAGGGCTCTGCCTCCTTCTGGTCAACTGACTGGGTGCAGGTGCAGGCCAATTCCCTAATTTGCCTGCTGCCACAGCAACCTGCACCTGTGGGGGTTCTACCTGGCTCGTAGGGCCCTCTCTCTAGGCAGTTTCTGCCCTTAAAGGAGTAGGCACACCTGTGACACCCATTTCTCAATTCACATTCGTTAGCTGACCAATATGTCTTGAAAAGTGACTATTTTAGGTGCATTTTACAAAAATGCAGGAGCAAATGGACTTTCTTCTCCCACTCCATGCAACTGCTACTAACACAAACTGCACAGTAGAGGGCATCAATCATCACATTGTCACTAACTTTTCCGCCCCTCATACATCTAAAAACGAAATCTCATATTTATGTAACTTCCATTATCTTCTTTATTTTTATAATCTAGGTTCAAACAAGAACAAGCAAAAGATTTGTTCACGTCTGTGGTGGAACTCTCATTCACAAAAGCTGGATTCTCACTGCTGCCCACTGCTTTCAGAAGTAAGTTCTGCACTTACAATCTTTGTTTAAATTCCTGAAGGGTTGAGGGATGTATCTTTGTGAACAGGTTCCACCAAAAGAAATGAATATGGAATTAGGCACGTTCTGTACTTGAGAACCTAGAAAATATATACATGAGATCTGACAGAAATTGATCAAGAAAAATTGTTCACATTGGTGAGAGGTCTTAATCTAGACATTACCATGGTAAAAACAAAAGAATCCATCTAACCAGAGGACATGTTAAGAAAACTTACTGAACTGCTGTAGAAATGAGTTCAAAAGATGTCTGCTTTTGTTACTGGAACTGAAAAGAGAGATCAAAGGAGGGAAAGATTAAAAACCAATGAACTTCTGTGATTTTTAAAGCAATTGGTTTTCTATTATTAGTATTCTATGTGCGGGCCGCCTCCCGATCTCGTCTATGTTGCCATGTGCAAGCCGGGAGCGATATGCGGACCCGTTTTTGCGCACGCGGGCTGTGGCCAGCAGCCCGGGGTCGAAGAAGAACGGTGGCGAGCTAGAATTAGTTACGGACGCGTAATGGTTGATTAAAAGATTGTTTACTTACACCAAAGATGGTCGTGGTGTAGGCTGGACAGTTTTCCAGGCTCAGCTCCGCTTAGTCCTCGCTAGAGGACTCCGACAATTGACCCCGGAGTGGTTGAAGTTCCGCGGGTTTGGCTCGGTAATTGGCCCCAGAGTGGTTGAAGCTCCGCTGGTTTGGTAGTTTCAAAGGAAAGGGATGCGTCTTAGGATTGCGCTCGGCGACGGGGAGAGGCTAGAGGCCGTTTGGCCCCCAGAGTGGTTGAAGCTCCGTGGGTTCGGTAAATAGGCCCCCGGAGTTGTTAAGACTCCGTGGGTTCGGTTAGTCGGCCCTCTATTGCCCTCTTAAGGAGAAAAAGAAACTGGGTTTGAAGGGATTAGCAGCGCTTAGAAAATCTTCACGCTCTCTCTCCCAAACTCCAATTGCTTTCTCTCTCTCTTCAACTTGGGCGGAAACCTCCCAAGCTCTTTATACGGCTAGCAAGCCAATCGCTAGCCGCCACGTATGCATAATTTAGGATCAGCCAATAATGTGGCGTGAATCTAAATACAAATGGCGGGAACTCCTTTGCACCATGCATCACTATGATGCAAAAGAAATGCACCATGCAAAGAAGGCTACAAACTGGCGGGAAATACTGTTTTGCACGCGGGTTCTCTATTGCAGCAGAAAACTCTACCGTGCAAAGGAGCTGCAATTTGGCGGGGACATAATTTAGCAGTGCCGAAGCACACAAAAACAAAAAACCACAACTTTGGGTTGTGACATTCTACACTGGTTTTCAAACAGCCAAAAAGCTGTACGACTCTTTCATATGATGATACAGAAAGTGGCTCATTCCTGTATCTGGTAAAGTTTTATTTAATAATTCTTACCCCATACGAAGCATTCTATTCCTCTGTAAATATGTCATATATTTGGTAATTTCCCTTTGCAAATAAATGCAATGTAGTTTTTAATTTTGCACTACAGCAATCATAAGGTGAAAGATAATGTAAAGGATATTATAAAGTAGCACAGTAAAATTAATGCAACAGAGCTTAATGAACAATAAATTATAACAGTTATTCAATAAGAGCAGGCTAAATAAAAGTTTATGAAAAACACTTAAGTATATTCCAAGCCATATGCAATGTAGTATAAGGGTGAAATTCACCTCACTACAAAGATCCCATCTAAAACCCTCATGTCATTTAAGATGTCGAGTAGCAGTTTGACGGATTCAGCTGATTCAATCTCTTATGAAGGCCATGCAGAAGGTAGGGGAGAGTAGGACCTTTTAGTGATTAAGTAGTTTAGAAAGGAATGAACTTTTGTAAGGAACAGCCTACTTCAGATTATATGACATACATGTGAATAATTAAGTCCATGTAAAGCATTTGTTTATTTTTCTTTCACATGGGCCTATTAAATACTTCTGTTGAAACTGCTAAGTGATAAATTATTTTGTTCTTCACTGAACCTGTATTACAGCTTCCGTCTTTGCTACTGCTAAATAGTAAACAAGCTACACTGATTGACTTCTAATCTCCTTTTGCAACAGGATCTTGCTTTTTATCCATAAATAAGCCTTTGTCCGATTTCAACAGACTATTTTGTACTTCTAAAGAATGCCATTTTAAATTTGAATACTTTGATCTGATTGTCACACAGGTTGTAAGTAAATGGCACCTTCAGCTCAACCATGGTAGTACAAGGATTAGTACCTATTGCACGTAATCACAAAAGGTAAAAGAAGACCAGTACAAAAATGGCATTGAGTTTGATTTACTGAAGGTCTGTGTTACCTGAATTCTTTTTAGGAAGGAAGAAGATGTTGCAAAGTGGAGAATTCTTCTGGGAAAGCACAGCATTAACCACGCTGAATCTACAGAAAGGGTCTACCATGTGAAACGAATTTATCGGCATGAGCAGTTCCGCTATCCACACCTGAATGAGCTAGACTATGACATCGCCTTGGTCAAGCCTGTGGAAGACATTGTAACAAACCATTTTATTCACTATGCCTGCCTGCCTAAGAGAGACAGCCATCTTCGTCCAGGACATTTCTGCTGGGTGACTGGATGGGGTGACACACAAGGTATTTCTGGTTCCATGGTTCTGGAGATTAGATTTTGTAAGTGTGTGAAGGGTACCTCCTTCTTGGAGAATGTTCCAGTGATATATAGGATTGTATAGCCTCCATGGCACTGTCCTTAAGCAGGAGAGAGAGAATGCCTCCTTATGTGATGAGACATGTACCTGGTATAACAACCCTTCTGGAATTTGGCTTTTATTTTCTTAAACAGTGCAACTACTAGTATTTTAGAGGTGCTCTGTCCATCAGTCCATAATGGATCAGCACTGATAAAAGGAAAATTTACATTATCGGCAATTGGCTTTTTTTGGCTGGTGCAGCTTATAAAGTCACCGATTAAATGCGGTGTGCATGTGCACAGCTGCAGCATGCACATGGCCAGGAATGCAGCCCGGTGGCCTGGAGAGCAGTGTCCGGCTGGTAAGGAAGGGTTGTAGGGGGAGGGAAAGGGTAGGGGAGGCAGATCAAGGCCCCCCACAGTGAGGGATGGGGGAGAGAGTGGGGCTGGGGCAGGAGCAGAGGCAGACTCTGTTCAGCTGGGGTGAAGCATGGGACAGAGCTGCAGGCAGCTCATCCAGGCGGGGGGAAGATGTGCAGCTCCCCACCACCGCACACAGCCTAGGGAAGGCATGGGGGCTATGTACCCCCTGGATTTGTGCACAGGGTAAGGGCGAGCTGTCCACTGCCGGGGGCTGCACCAGCCTCTTCCCAGCGGGAGGGGTTGGACCAGGCCTGTCTTCTACTTAGAGAAGTAGATACTTTCAAGTCAGCAGGGCCAGACAGGAGGCTTCCTAGGCTACTAAAAGGATTGGCCGAGTGAATTTCAGGACCACTGTCCTCTCTTTGAGAACTTACGAAGGTCAAGTTGTTGAGCCCCAGCTCAAGTCTGGGATCGTGCCCGGTATGCAAAAGCCAATAAAGATACCAGGGGTGAAAGTATAAAGATTTATTGCTAGCAATACAAGGTGCAAGCGGAATAATTTTATGTAACAAGCACACAGATTCTTAATTTTAAGCATTTTTTATACAGGAGTATTGGACCTTTATAAGCATTCTTGTTTGCTAATTGGTTATAAGGGAGTGACGCAAGGAGTTCTTTACTGAGCATGTCTCTATACCTGTGTTTTAGCTATGTATCTCATTTTTATATATGTATGTTTTATTAGCATACTTGCTCCCCACCTAGGGGTGTGAATCTTAATATTTAAATCAGTTCTTTGCCCTAGTCCACTAATTCTGTTTTTGTTTTTAAGCCTCCTTTATCTAAGACTGTCTTTTCCTTATCATTGCAGTTGAGCATTAGTTATAGAACAGAGACTTTTGTTTGGGCTATGTGTAGTGGTTTTTAGGTCAAACCTGACAAAGTGAGGTCCTGAATTGCTGAAAAAGGGCAAATATGGTACCCATCTCTAAGAAAAGAAATGGGGGTGTTCTGGGGAATTACAGACCTGCCAGTCTGACTTTTGATACCTAGAAAGATCATGGAACAGGTCCTCAAGAAAGCTAGGGTGAAGCATCTAGAGGGGAACAAGGTGATGATGAGGAACACCCAGCTTGGATTCACCAACAGCAAGAAATGCCAAACCAACCTGATTCCCTTCTACGATAAGATGATAGCCTCTGTGGTTGGGAGAAGCAGTGGACAATGGGGTGAGCTACAGTCATCCCAAAATTTGCCATAGTCCCCTGTCCCTTCCCCACCTCCCACCCCCTCCAGACGAGCCACCCTCATCTCCACCCCAACCGTTCTGGGTAGTGCCAGCCCCAGTCCCATTCCCTCTCTCACCATGGGGACCTTGATCTGCCCACCCCCCAAGCCCCTTACCCTCAACAGACTTACTGGCTGTACATTGGTCTCCATGCTGCTGGGCTGCATATCAGCAATCAGATCGACCAATCTGGCTGGTTAATAATTGGCCATCAGTATCAGCCAATTTTTTTTTTATTTTTTTTAAATCAGTGCACCCCTAATTTATTTGTATTGTGACAGAATTTACAGCTAGGGACAGAGGTTTGTTTCCTGGAAATCCTGGTGCTGGAAATTGTGAAAAGAGGGGTGGTTGTGGGAGGGCATACATACAGGCATTCTAAACCCCTGGCTGGAGAGCAACAAAGTTGCTTGAAAGGTGAGCTCACTAGCCAGAGGGCAATAGGGTATTGCTCCTTTGCTCCCTCTGCCTCCATAGCAGACAAAAGGCATCATCCATGCGAGTATCAGCTGGACATAGCTGCAGGGGAGAGAGACTCCTTGGGGAGTGGGCATGCTCCCTGCCCCTGTTCCTCCCCTGTGGGTGAAACGGGACTGTGTTCACATCCCCACTGCTGGGTCTGTGGCTGGTCTATCACAATCATATTGGTTTTGTGCAAGGGCTCTGGGGCATTCCCTGTGGATTGATCTGTCTCGGGTGTCTCTTGGATGGGTCAAGTCATGGGGGAATGCCTCAAAAA